CCTGCTCCTCCTCCTCCTCCTCCTCCTCCTCCTCCTCCTCCTCCTCCTCCTTATCATCATCATCATCATCATCATCATCATCATCATCATCATCATCATCATCATCATCATCATCATCATCATCATGTCTCCCCACGATGTCAGCTCAGGATAAGATGCTGCCCTTTTCCTCGAGCCCGTCCGAGCAATGTTCCAAGGCCACCAGCGGAGGTCAGCCAGGATATCAGGGGGAAGGTGGGATAGATTGGAAGGTAACTGGGATTGACAGAGAGGGGCTGTGAGGGACGTACGGCTTGAGCCAAAATGGGTACGGACGTCGCACCCCTCTCTGTATGTTCAAGCACATAGGCAAACGACGGAGGACACAACTGCAAATCAATGAGCCGTTGGCGCTCATTCCCACAGTCCCCCGAAAAATAATGGGCTTGAACAGAGGTGCAACATCCAAGACCCATCTGGCATTCTTCAAACGATTCCTGCTAGCAGTGCTGGCGCTGGTGAGCATTTTGGACACCGTCCTCGTGGCTAGGCAGAGTGGTTGGACTGAGCAAGGGTCCACACTCCTGCGTCCAATCGCATGCACTCTGGCCACCTGGTGTTCCCCGCGGGGGCAGTCACCGGCACTACGAGAACACTTGGACAGGAAAAACTGCGCTCCAAAACTACGCGAAGAGAAACTCTTGCCACACCAATGCCTTGAAAAGGGAGGGGTGCAAGAGGCGAGACAGAGGGCAGAAATCACTGCAGCTGTCGCCTGGACTCGGCTCTGGATCGGTTCTTGACCTGGGGGTCGTCCCTGCGATCTTTTAGGGAATCTTCTTCGGATCTGAGCCTAAGCATGCCCGACTTGAGCAGAGCGAGTTGGGCGGCATTCGTCTTGGCCAGATCGGCCTTGGTGAGGCAATCCACGGGCATGTGGGGATGTGGTACCCACCTGATCGCGCTCCCTATCCGATCCATGGTCTCCCTGACGACGGCTAGATCTATGGCGGCCCTCCTATCCGACTTGGTCCCCGACGTGAGTTTCGAGAGGGTGTCATAGATCCCCTTCGCATCTACGACGCTGACGTTGCCTGTCACCGGCTCTCCAAGCACGGTGCAGTCCTCCTTGAGAAGACTCACGAACGGGCCGAGGTTCTCCCGCCACCGTTCATGGACAACATTGCCGCGAGCGACGTCGAGCAGCAAAATCTGCAGCCACTCCGCCTCACCTAAGGCACTAGAGAGAGACAACGTCTCCCCAGCCAGGGTGGATGCCACCTGCCTGCGCATTTTCCCGGATCGCCATGCTATCGGGGTCACCCGGGCCCGGGACCCGTGAGCTAAAGAATTATCGGCGATGTAAATTTGCCAGGCCTCTTGAGGGTGCTGGGGGGCCCCCTTCTTATCCTCGGCCCCTATGCCTCCGCAGTCGCTGGCCGTGGCCAGCACGAAACCGTCTGGTCGAAACCTCCAGACTATTATGGGAAGAGATGCGGTGGACCTTAGGTGGTCCACCATTTTGTTAGCGTCCAACAGGTCCTTGACCGAAGGGCTGTTGACCTTCGTAGCAAGAATCGAGGCCGTGCCCGCGGCCTCGGCGCGGGTCTCCCTGCCCACCCACTGCAGCTTATACACGAGCGACCGGAAGGCGGCCACCTCGCCGCCGACCAGGGGGGCTTCGTGATTCCCCCTCCGACCTCGAGCAAGGGGGATCTTCTGAAGCTGTTCCAGAATGTATTCTTCCTGGTCCACCAGGACCCTGTCGCCGTCCAGACGCAGCCTCCTGCCTATGTACTCCACCCCGGCGGCATCAAGTCTTTTCATTTTCCCAAAAGTAAACCTCGTCTGGAACGGTTTCAAATAATTATCTTCGCACCCTTCTCGGAACGCGATGGCCCAAATCGTCCACTTCAACGAGGACCTGGGCCTGGAGGGCCTCCTTGGCCCTTTCCACGAACCAACGCGGTTCGAGACGAGTCCGCTCAAAACCTCGCGACTTAAGGAAATTAGCGGTGGTCTTGTGAAACTCAAGAGGAGCGTCGTCGAGACCGTAAACCGGGGCGATCAGTTCAATGAGGGACCCCGATGGAACAGGGACCCCCTCGCATGGCTCGACGAAAACCCTCCCCCTGGCCCTCTTGAGTGGTTCTGACTGACAGAACGCGTTCTTAATATCTCCTATATAGATGCACATCTTGTACATGAGGGAAACCACCAAGAACAGCATCAAAGCCTCCATGCACGGAGTGGGGGCATAAACCTGAAGCTCGCTCGCATCCTCGTCCTGGTGACCCCTCACGCACCATCTAGATTTAGCCTTGGGGGGGGCGTGTGTCCCCTCTTGGGGTTTCCATCTCCTAACCATCCTACTGGAGACAATCCTAGTGGGAAAAAGGCGTCTCAATTCTTTGGCTTGCTCGGGGGGATGAACGATCACGGCACGAGTGCCTTCCGCGATGGCCTTCCATTCGCTCTCGTCAGACTTATCGAACTGCTTCTTTTCTTCCCCCTTCAGGTCTTTGCACCTGACCTCGGCCCCTCGGTTCACAAGCAAAGAAAGGTCACAGCTTCCCCCCGGCCCCGGGATGATTTCGACGTCGGCGCTTCCATTGGAGTAACTGAACCAGTCTCCACTCCATCCCTCGTTCCAGACCTCCTCATCAAGATGATTGCGGAAAGTGTCTTGATCAACTTCCTCGTCGCAAAAGGAGGCCCAAAGAGTCTCCGCCCGGGACCCCTGCCCCTCTGGAGACCTGGAGCGACGGTCTTCGGCGGAGCGTCTCTCCAGCTCATGCACCTGCTGCCGCACTCTGCCGGGAGTGGCACCGCCAAACCTTTCCCCGAGAGTGCGGGATCTCTGAATCCTGGAGCCCAGGTCCAACAGCTCTCGCCGAGCACTATCTTGCATCAGGCGATTGAGCCGACCAGGGTCCATTGGCTCCGCGCTGCGACGTTGACTGGCCGTGTCAGAAGCATCGAGCTTGGGAGCACTAACAGGCGGAGCAGAGGAGGAGGAGGGAGAGGCGGCAAAGGGAGGGTTGGCCGACGTTCCGGAACTACTCCCGCCCCCTCTTTCCCTTTTCTCTCCTTGGGGCAGTGGTTGCCTACGCCTACTGGTCTTGCCTGGACCGCCACCCCTGTCACTAACGCTCCTGGCGGCGGGCAAAACAGACCGGCTCTCTGGCCCACTGGAGCCCCTAGAAATGACAGCGGTGGATCCTCCTCCGCTAGACACCTGCCTGGATTGGCTGACGTCGGAGACTTCCGCCACTTCCTCCCCGGGAGCCCTGGTGGCATCGGAAGCCACGTCGAGCCGGTTCTCCTCTGGGATCGGTCGAAGAGC